GAAAACCAGGTCTTTGAAGGGCTATGCGGAAGCCGCATGGTCGTATTCGTAATCAGCATGGTCGATAACCTATAACCCACTAGATTCCGAGCAAAAAGCGTTTAATCACTTCGTGGGGTTCCCTCGTTAGTAGATAGAAGATGTTTATTTATTTCGGAAATTAAGTATCTAAAAAGATGTTTATTTTTTAGAGAGCTGAACGTGATGAAAAAAGACGTGCTAGAGAAGAAGAAAAACAGAAAAAGGACGCAGAAAAACAGAAGAAACAAGAGGAAAAACAAAAGAAAGAAGAAGAAAAACAAAAAAGAGAAGAAGAAAAACAGAAAAAACTAGAAGAAAAACAAAAAAAAGACGAAGAAAAGCAAAAGAGTGAACAGCTTAAAATAGCTTATAGAAAAATGCTTGAAGAAGAAAAGCAGTGAGTGATCAGTTTTAACCCTTGTAACCCCAACTGGAGACCAGCCGAAGATCAGACAGGTGGGAATATGAGGGTTAATTGATTTATTAAAAGTAATATCGAGTTAGTTTATTAACTTATCAGTTTTGTTTTCAGAGCAAAAGATGCTGAAAAGCTTAAAAGAATGGAAGTTAAACTACAGAAACAAAAGAAAGAAGAAAAAGAAAAGAAAAGTATGGAAGATCGACTGAAAAATTTCCTTAGAAAACCGTCCATTGTTTCACAAGTAAGAACAATGTTTTGAGAAATAAATGCCTAATAACTTCGTTAATCATCTTTTTCTGTGTTAGGTTGCGGAGCAAGTTATACAGTTGCAAAGTGAGAACAATGGTGGTGATATAAATGATTTTGAACAACGTGTTTTAAAACAAGTATATATCGAAGAACTCGACATCATAAGCCACATTTTACAGAATAGTGTGTGTTGTTGTAGGATCTAAATGTTTTGAATTATACAATCAAAGATATTATTTCAGCACAGTCGGGACTAACAAAAGATCAACAAAAGTAAGTATATCGACGCCACACTATTGATCATAGAAGTAGTTTAAAATTTTTATTTTTGAACATTTTCGTTTAGTTCGTCAGAAAAAGTGAGCAGTGATAATGTTGATATGAAATATATTCACTTTCCAAAAAAATATTTTATTCGTCCACCATATTACGGTACATTTAGTAAAGGCAGGTTAATTCTCGTCGATGCTACAGAACCATATGCAGTTGTTGATAATGTAAGCGAATTTGATTGATTAATAATGTAATGATAAAAGTTTTGAGATTTTCCATAGACAATTGATTATGATGATGATTCTGTCCTTGAATGGGACGATGGAGAAGAAGCCGAAGATTGTGAAGGTTCTGATATCGTAAGTTGTCTTGATTTTATTTTTCTAGTTTATTAAGTTATTTGATGTATTCTGTTTTAGGATCAAACATCTAGTGTTGGAAGTGATGTAGCCGATGAAGATGATGAACTATTTATTGTTCCACATGGTCATTTGTCGGATGATGAACTCGAAGAAGATGATCGCCCAGCAAGTTTCTATTTTCACTTGTGAACAATCTATTAAAGATCAATAGCGTTTTGTTATTTTAGTCAACAATTCAGTTAAAACAAGGGCGTGAAGCAGCTAAATCAAGCGTATGGGACAGAAATGTTCAAAAAAAGAAATCATTACGTGATTTAAAACCAATATTTGGCTGTATTTATGATAATAAATATTTATCAGATCAAGAAAAATTGAAGGAAATTAGTGAATGTCAACAGTATAAAGTACGAAAAATTGCATAAGAAGCGATGATCAGTGAACTTAATCTTCTATTTGAATAGATGATAGTAGTACCAGCAGAAAAAGCGAATAATTCATGTGAAGAAAAATCTGCAAAAGTATCTGTAACGCCCAAACAACGACAAAGTCAAACAAAGGGTAGGAAAAATACTTCAAATACTCTTGCGCATAGGACGGTGTAGCCGGGTATGATCTTTAGAAAGGTGAATTCGAGTATAAATAATTCGTCAAGTAGTTCATCAAATAAAATAAATTTCGGCTTGAATTTTTGTTCTCTTTCGTACGTTTATTTTACCAAATTTTCGTATCTCGCTGCAAAAGTTTGAACTGAGAAGGTAAATTCTTTCAATCTCTGGCAGGTTATAAATGAAATAGTTTGCTAGATGTCAAGCAGCAGTACCATTTTGACTGGTCTGATTAGTCTCTTATCTATCACAATCTAAATTTTGTGGAGATTTGACTATTTCTTTTGTTCTGGGTTCTTTTCAATGTCAAGATAAAATACCATTCAAATCACAAACGAAACGTTCCTCTTCAAATAAACCAGCAGTTGAATCACCTTCAAAACGTCGTAAAATCAATGTTTCAAAAGCACATAGCGATGGAACAGCAACGTGTGACAAGTATTTGATGACAATGGAATATGAAGAAAATGTTTTTAAAAGTAAAATAGAAAAAAAAGTAATAAGTGAAAACATCAACTTTAGTTGTTTTTAGTCGATGGTGGTGGTGATAGAGAAGATCAAAAATCGAAATCAAATATATTAGAAGATACAAGTAATTCGAAGCTTCTTCTAACAGCGGAATCGATCGATTGTCAAGCAAAACATTTTCGTACGATGTCAGCTGATTGTGATAATATGAATTTACAGTGTTCTGTAAATTCAGCTGATGCAACAATAGACAGTAAGTATTATAGTTAAAGTACTTGCAAGAACTCTGACTGATTGATCTGTTTGAAAATGCAGTTTCATGAAATTCTGAGATAGAAACTATTTGTAAGGAACTGTTCTAACTAAGAAAATGCGCTTTTCTCTAATTAGTGCTAAAATTTGTCATTGTTTTCGTTTTCTACTTTTAAAGGTTTTGTTCAATCAGTGCCACTATCCCCACCATTGGTTACAGTATTGGTTGCAAGACGAAAAAACTGATGTGATTACTGTTTTTTATAATTGTTATTTCTGTGTATTGTTTGTGTGACTTATTTTCTGGTAAAGTCTAATCTACATCCAATGGATGCATATTCCCTCTTTTGTAAATAATCAACTATATATTTTTTTATATACGCATAGATGAAATCCAGAGAAATTTGTTGTTGCTTTTCTCTTTATGTTTTTCTTTCATATATCTTTTTTTTCTCTGTCTCTCTCTATGTTGTTTCTTTCTGGTTGTGCGTAGTTTTATTTAATTGCTGCTGTCAGTATAAAAAGAAACGAACTTTAGGTTCAGTTTAAAGAAAAAATAAAGCTATGATTAAGACTGGCGTTTTTCATGGAGCACGATTAATTTTAAACAATGATTCGAGCAAAGACTGGATGGATGAATCTGATCTGAGATCTAAGGGTATATTGGATTTGAGTTGATTCCTTGTGATTACTGAGATCAAGGCACTTCAACGAATTTGATGCTGGATGGACCTGACGTAAGAGCAAAGGCCCGAGTTCCGTAACGAAGTACAACGAAAGAATTTTTTATTCATATTCTTGTAGCGCGATGTTCTCAATAATAGGGAAAAAAATTATTATAGTAGGGAAAACTATGTCCTCAATTCGCTTTGATGAGCTAACTATACCATCCATGCAGACGCCAAATGCACAAAATATCACTTTTCAACAGAATGATTTTCTAGAAGACCTCTAAAAAACCTTTCAGAAAACACTTAGTATTATTGGACTTTGACGATGGTGCCGTATAATAGACACTAGCGAGTGTATATTTTGAAAAGGAGCAGATCGTTTTCTTTCTCACAAAATTTTCGAATTTTTTACATTGGAATCATGTCAAAGCATGCCCAGGAACATTTCCACGCAATTAGTTTCGCGAAATGTTCCGGTCAGGTTTTTGACGCCTGAGGTCCGTCACAGGGATTTTGAAAAACTTTCCATTTTTGATTTTTCTCAAAAGCAAACTTTTAATGCAGACAAGACGTCATGTGTCCTGAATTATTTTTAAGCTAAGTCGCACAAGCCTTTAAAATTTTATAACATAGATGTAAATAGGTAATGAAATGCGTTGATCACGGTTTGATGAAGTAAATTTGGTTTGCTCAACACCCTTGATAATTAATCTTGGAAAGTTTTTCTGGAAACTTCTTCCACAAGTTTTTTCGATTCTTTTCTAGAGCTATCAGATAGAGCATAAAAAGTTATATGTTTTGTAAAATTCTGGCGTTGCACTTGTATTTTCTTCCCAGTCAGCTTGGGTGAATATTTTGAAAAATCTCAATTTTTGCAAGTTTTCATCGAGTTTTGACGAAATATGATGTTGCATAATTGTTCTATTTTCATATTCAGATCCAGCGTGACATTCTGCGTCAGAATCACTATTGATTTCATTTTCCGATGCTTTCTTGCACGGAGGACACCCAAAGACTCTTTTTTGCGAAAAATAAATTTGGCCTAAACTCAAGATTTCCGCTCACTAAACTTTTTCTGACACTTCCAACAGTTATATTCGTGATTAGCGTGATCGATTACATATTATCAAGTACTTTTGAGAAAAATCAAAAATGGAAAGTTTTTCAAAATCAGGCGTCAAAAACCTGACTGGAACATTTCGCGAAACTAATTGCGTGGAAATGTTCCTGGCCATGCTCTGACATGATTCCAATATAAAAAATCTGAAAATTTTGTGGGGAAGAAAACGGTTGGCCGTAGTAATGTCGAAACCTACCAATATCGAAGGTAAAAATGTCGAAGGAGATATATCGAAGTGGAATAATATCGAAGTGAGAAAATACCGAAACGAAAAAATATCGAGGAGCCCTTTAGAAACAACCCTTTAGAAGGAGCCCTTCCGACACATCTTTGATTTTTGGTATGATGTCTTTTTAAACATAATTCGTTTCATTTATTGCTCGTTGTTTGACTTTTTCATGAAATTCATGTACTTTAGTTTTTTCTTTCTCGGGAAGATGACAGTAATCATCAGTCATTTTAGTCAATTGATCATGCAAATCTGTATGAATTTTTGGTGAACATTCAATAAGTGTTCATGTTCAATATTTGAGAGGCTTATACAACAGAGGCTTAGAGTCTGCGTTTACTAGTGACATCACTTTTTCGATCTTTTTCCGTTTCGACATTGTTCTTCTACATTTATCCGTTCTACATTATTTCCATTCGATATTTCTACGGCACACCAAGAAAACGGCCTTATCCGCCCTCCTTCTTTCAAGCACTGGACGTATTTCTAAAGAGGTTTTCAAAGGTTCGACTTTTTGTTACATCAAACGGCGAGGTATGAAAAACAAAAAAGGGTTTTGAAAATTTTTTGTTTCCAATACCAGTCGAACCTAAATAGCAGCACATTTTGTTCAGAATTCAATCCTCTACAAAGCTACCTTTGACTCGAGTAGTGATTTTGTGTCTTCTTAGAAATAGCCTTCGTTCAGGTCCCTCCTCATTGAGTATCCATAACGCTATGAAATTTTGTTGTGCTTTTACCGCATATATAATACCTTGGTCGACGTAGTTTTGTTCGTAGATTACGAATATGGTTTTAAAACTTGTTGATGAACAAAAGCGAGCGCAAAAAGATCAAGTTCAAGCTGAAAAGTATCTAATTATGCATTCTTTTTTTCAATAAAAATTCTTTTTTCGTAGACACAGATGGATTCCGATCCCCAAATCTGCATGGTATACAGAGTTCACACTCACGCAGCTTCTGACGAAACTAGAATTTGGTTTTACATCTAGTTTAGATTTTACGAGCATTTGACTAAACACATGTGATATGGATATGATGGAGTTTCTTTCAAAACTGACTTATTTCTTCTACAAGAACCGACGGCTAATGTCCATGAAACAATAAAATTTGTAGAGCGCTCATCGCTCTACGAGAATATGGATAAAAAATGATTTCGTGGTATTTCGTTAAGGGACTCGGGCCTTTTCTCTTACGTCAGGTCCATCCAACATTAAATTCGTTGGGATTCTCCGATCTCAGTAATCACAAGAAATCAATCCAAATCCAATATACTCATAGATCTGTCGTTACGAGCTGTACAAAACTTGGTATATGAATCATGGGTTCAAGATACTTTTGAAATCCGATAGGATCCTTTCCATTGGGAGTATCGAGGAAGTATTTACGCAGTCATCTCTGCTTTTTCAAAAATGGGATAGACAATGCTTTACTAGTAAACGAATAAAACGTGAACCAATAGGTAGTTTTATATCAAATTTCAGAGTGTTTTTGTTGCAATGTTGTTTTTAAAAGTAACAAAAAAAAGTTGAAGGAGAATTAAACGACCAATCGTTCTTGAAATATAAAAACAACTGGATGATTTTTGTTATATTCAAAACTAGTAATAAATAAAATTTGTCCTTCTTTCATTCATCATGTTTTGCAATGCGACACATGTTTTTTGTTTTTGAAATGTGAAAAATATTGAATCTATTTAACATAAATTTTTTCTTCACATCTTTTCACATTTCTCTTACGCCTATCGAGATTTAGAGTATGGAAAATAAAAGGATGTGTATTGTGGAAAACGTCATCGGCAGGAAATATGTTTCTTGATATTTTTTTGTCATGTTTGAAATCTAAGAAAAAAAAATCTTTTAAACAAGTGGTAAATATAATTTCACATAAAAATGTTTGTATGTTACCTTTAATCACTATATAAAAGGCATAAAACATAAAACAAAAAGGTACTTAGGCTATAGCGATCATTTGCTATGCAAAATTTTGTTGATGAGTAGCCGTTATCTGTGTTTGTTTTACCCCAAATACTAGCTTCACAGCATGACTGAATGATTTGCGAATAATACATTCGAATTACAACAGAAAGAAAACAGTTCACATGAAGATTCTTTTGATCTCTTATCGAAGGGTCTCTCTATTATTTCCTGTAACATTTTGAAGTGCCCTACGTTTATTCTCTGCTGTTATTCCTATTGTTCTGATTAATAATTAGCTTTTTAACGCTATAACTAAAGATGATCAGTAACCGCTTTGTTTTTTTAATCTTTGGTGACGGTAAAGTTTCTTTTACAGCAGTAGTGATAACCTTACTACTTCCGATAAGTTTTTCTTCCGACGTCTTATACTCTTTAAATAAAAATAAGACTTTATTAATACAAAAAATGTTGTATAGGACTAAGAACTATCTTTAGTGGTAACTTTTCTTCACTCTGATGAAAAATACTAGTCTTAGTAATTCATATATTGAGTTTAATACCACTAAGATTCTAGCATGCGTTCTTTAGTAATGATATTGGTGTCACTATGTACCCGACAGGTGTTTTTGTTATGCTTTGGGTCGACTAACGAGGGAACCTCCCGAGATGCCCACTTCTGATTTAAATGCTTTGTACATGGATCGAGAGACCTCAGTGAGGTAGTAAATACACTAAGAGGATTCGGGCCCATGACTCTTGAAGACCCGATTTTCAGGAAAACTAGTTTTTCGACTCTTTTCAAACTGTAAAAAATAACCAAAACCTCATTAAGAAAAGGTTTTGGTTATTTTTTACAATTTCTGAAAAACTGGTTTTCCAGAAAACCGGGTCTTTAAGC